ATAGCTGCACTTTCACATGCATCTCAGACGATTTTGCTGATGGTGGTTGGCAACCAGGCATCCAGAAACACTACTATAGAGAAGCAGTGTTATCATCTAACTTTATATGCAAGCTTTGTACATTGTTTTTGACACAGTGAGCTTGATAGCATTTTTTCCTTCTAAAAAGAATTTAGCAACTTATCCTTTGGGAGATTCTCATGAAGCAGCATCCTAGAATTTGAAGTTAGCTTGTGTTGCTGCTGAATAGCATCAAAGAAAATCTCCCTGTGATTCAAAATGCATAAGGAGAAACACAGAGGTACTCTGCTAGGTGATTTACATATATTTTCTGGTTTAATCAAAGGGCTAAATGCTTTACTTGACATGGATCCTCATAAGAACAATTTCATTACAGACAATGCACAAGTTGATGAGGATACAGCGGTGAGCAAAAAATACAAAATCTTTGTCATCATGGAGTTTATTGTCTGGTAAAGGATGTCTTAATCCATTAGGGATGCTATATCAAAATATCATAAAATGGATAGCTTATAAACAACAACAGAAATTTAGTGCTCACAGTTCTGGAGTCAGGGAAGTCCAAGATCAAACTGCTGGCAGATTCAGTACCTGGTGAGGTCCCACTTCCTAGACTGCTATCTTGTAACCGTAATCCCAGATGGCACAAGGGCTGAACAAGGTCCTTTGGGCATCTTTCATAAGAACACTAATGTCATTCATGAGGGCAGAATCTCCAAAGGCCCCACATCCTAATACCCACTTACACTTTCAAGGGTTAGGATTCCAATATATAAATTTTTGGGGCACACACAAACATTCAGAACATAACAGGGAGACAGAAAATAGAAATATACACTACATTATACAGAAATAAGTTCCATGGACAAAATAACTTAGAAGAAGAAGAAAGACAAAAGGCCATGACACAGGGTGGTCAGGGCAGGCCTCCCAGAAAAGATCCCCTAGGAATAGAAGGAAGTGTGGGGCATGTTTGGATATGGATTCTTAATTGACTTTGAAGATAGAGTCAGCAGGATATGATGATAGGTAGATTGAAGTGGGAGAGGAAAACTAAAGATGACACTAAAGCTTTTGGACTATGTAAAATAAAAAGTGAAGGTGGGCATTATTTATTCAGCTGGGCATTATTATATGAGATGGGTTATTACTCACACTCCATTTTTAAAATTAGAGCACACAGGCTCTCATTAATGAAGGGCTTGCTACAAGTAACACAGCTTGTACGTGGTGGAGAGTGGTTTTGAACCAAGTCAGAAAGACTCTGGGGCCTATTCACTAAGTCCTAAAGGCAGCTATGGGGTGCCACAACCCCCAACAAGATTGCTTTGAACTGAGCTCTTGGAAGCTTGGGCAGCTCAGAAAGAGCATAGGTAGAGTAGGGCTGGAGTCCTTCCATCTGTGCTCAGGGATTTGGAAGAGCTGCCATGCCAGTCTGTCGATATCACTCTGCACACTCCCCAACAGACCAAAGGGACCTGCCTGTTCCTTTGGCTTGGCATGTCAGAGAATCCTGTTGCACATTTCTATCTATATATAGGCAAGTCCAGCCCCAGGCAGGTGCAGGATGCAGAGCAAATCTCAGTGCCTCTCCTCTATACCAACATTCTCCAGCATATGGTATGTGGGTGGAATTAGGTTAAAAAGAACATCAAGGACAACCTTAGAGGAGAAATGAAATCACCACCAAAAGGAAACATGTGGTGAAATAAAGGGGGTGTGCAGATGATAAAGGTACAAGGAATCTGCCGCTGACCATCTGTCTATTGTTTTTTAAAAGTTTCTACATTGACTATTAAGTTTCAGGATCAGCAGGGAAGGGGGAAGAAATGGAAAAAAAAAAAAAAAGATATTTACTGATTGTCTGCTATGAGCCAGACACCAGACAGATGCTTTGTACACATTTTTACAAAACTAAGTGGCATCATCATTATCCTACCAGCTTTAGATAGATGAAGTCACTCAAGCTGAGACCCAAGATTAACTCTGCTGCACAAAGCAGAGCACTTCTGGAAGTTCCATGAAGGCAGGGACTGTCCTTGCCAAGCTCACTGTGTATCCCCAGTGCCCGATACTGCTCCTGGAACTCTGGGAGGCTCATTGACTCTTTAGTGAGCCATGCCTCTCTCTCCCTCTCTCCAATTCTAGTTTGTGATTCATAATGACATCTGTCTCCTCAACCCATCTCCCACCTCCTTCCTACCCTAAGAGGAGTGTAAGGTCTTAGATTTCCAAGGCTGCTTCTGCTGTGCACATGCCAGTGGCTGTGACTGTGGCCTTGGGACAGCAGGACAAGCCAGCAGAAGCATCTTCCAGCAGTGATGGTTACTACCAAAAAGGAAGCTAATGTTGGGGAAAAAAAATAGGAGAGGCAGACAGACTTTCCTAGATACCTTCAGCTTGCCCACTCTCAACAATTGCACCAGAGAAAGGAGCTTTCTCTTTTAAGCAGACAGTTGTGTCTGCCTTATAGGAGATGAAGTCCTGAATGTCTATTACCCTCCAGGGCTTCTGCTTTGGAGTTCAGCTCTGCATAGACGCCTCCACCACCCAGGCGCTCATCAGCTGGTCAAACTACTTCCTGTTCTCTGCCACCTGTTTCTCTGAGTCACTGCTTTTTAAGTTTCTGAAGTACACCCAGGCCCCTTAACAGCCTTAACTCATTTGGTTCATTTGTTCACTCAATTACCATTCATTGTTAGCAGAAGCACTGAGAATGCACAATGGTAGCATATACATGACAAGTTAAGGAATTGTGCAAAAATCTGTGCGTGTACATAATTTTCAAAGTGGAACCATAACTCTTTATTTTTATGCTATATTTACATTCCTAACCAGACAATTAAGATGGGATGGATCTCTTTTTAAAGTTTTTAACCAAAAAAAAAAAAAGTTAAAGAATCAATGTCCGCCTACATTAATGCGAAGTTGTCCTTTACTATTAATTAAAAATAGATTCACACAGATCCAGCACCAGTTTTAACGAGGTTCTAACTAGTTAGAATTAGTTCCTGTAATTTTCAACTTTAGGACAATAATTCAAAACATCAAAACTTAGAATTCTCTATTCAGAAGTCAACAAAGTGCTACTTCTTTTTCTCTTTCCTTGCTTCTTTGGAACCTCCCATGAGACGGCAGAATCTCTTGTTTGCCTAAGAAATATCTATGATCTGAAATTTTTTTTTCACAATGTTGAAGTAGGTCTTAAAATAATCAAGTCAAAAGCATGTCCTTTTATATTTGTGAATTTTTCCTCCTTGATATATTTGCGAGCCCCTTCTTATCTTCATACAGTGCTTAATATTAGCAGAAAAGAGAAAAAAACAATATTACCACTTTTGCTGCTAATGACTGTCTTTCCATGGAAAGAAGATGCTTTATATTCCAGAGCACATTGCCCATGTCTCCTGCACACAGCTCCTCCCCAACCCTCCTTCAATGTGTTCTGGTTTTTATTTATTTACTTTTTTGGTGCAATATTTTCAAGTCCCAAATGTTTACAAAATATGTTTGGAAGACAGAATTACCCATATCACCTCCCTTCTTTTCTTTCTCTATCCCTAGGAAAGAGAGGTCTTGATCTGTGCAATGAGCTTTCATAGCAGTTGAGAAAACCCCATTGCATAGAGGAAGGTGATAAAACAGCACCAGCAGTTGCCTACTAAGAGTTAAAAGCAGTGACTTGGTAGAAAACAGATCTACCCAGGTATACCCCAAGAAATTGCACATCAGAACTCTTGAACCCATTTAAATCTGTTTGCATATTTTTCATTTATAATATTTGCAATTGGGATTGCTATTATTCAATGAAAATTTACCTTTATGCATGCAAAGTGAAAAAAAACACATCTAATAATAATTAGATAATTAGATAATTCAGCCAGGTAAAGCCACTGTGTCTTCAAATATATGCAGAAAACTTTAGGCTTTGGGGTTTCTGTTTGACTTTGTTTTGATTTTGGCTCAAAATAACTTTTTAGCATTTGTAAATACAGAAAGGAAATGTGGTTTTCACAGTATCCTTTCACAGAATCCTTTCTGAATCTGTTTTTGGGACATGGCTAAGAAAAGATTAGTAAAGAGACCTTCCAAGGAGTGATGGGGAGGAGAACGGATGTCTCTCCAAGCTGCGTCCCTCCCCTTTGCCACCTGCTGCTATGGGGAGAGGTTCTTGGACTTCAACTCCCATTAGAGTCCTGCAGAACTCTGATCGATACAGGTTCCTGGCATCAGCACAAGCCTACCAAATCAAAAGCTCTAGAGGTGAGGCTATGCCTCTAAAATTTCCTACACCCTCCTTCTTGGGTGATTTTGATATGCAGACAGGTTTGGGGACAGCTGTACTGATTTGAGACAACAACTCCATGACTTTTAGCAAACCCTCATCAGTCACATCCTGTATTCCTATAGCAGACAATAGCTATCACTTATTAATTTGTTAATAATGCATGTGATTTATTTAGCCAAGAGAAACTAGAAATCTCGGGCTCTCTGAGGATTTTCTTGCCATAATTTCTTAATGCTGATCACTTGGGGTTAATTATTATTCAAAAAAGGAATATGCTGCCCTGGTCAGCTCGGTTGTAGCTACTCTGCTGTCAACATGTCACCAACTCAGGCACATTTCTAAGCCGGCATCTCCAGAAGTAACTAGTCCTTCTTTCTTCCTTACAAGGTTACACTTGTTCCCCAATCTGAAATCTTTCAGTTTAGTCTTGACTCCCCTCTCATTAAAGAACAGACGCCTCAAATGCCATGTTTCCTCCTATGCTATAGAGAGAAAAGCATAGAGAGAATAGAAAGAAAGAATAGAGAGAAAAGAAAGCAAGCATTGCCCTGCATGCATTTTTGTACCCTTTACAATTATTCTTTTCAGAACACATTGTATTATTTGACCAGGATTGTATTTTTCTGTAATTGTAGAAAATCATGGGAAATATGCCACGTTCAGAAGCCTTTCAGGAACACATTTTACTCACAGCTCTCCTTGCTCCTGGGTGTGCTCTTCATCACAACTTTCATCAGAACTCACAGGTGCCGGCACAAATATCAGAAAGTGCTACACAGCTAGATTACCCGACCCTGAAGTTTCTCACTTTGGCAACATACCACACTGTCATGCCACAAAAATGGGACATCGATGCCCCTAATAAATGTGACACCAGCTGTTCCTGGAAAGAAAGAGGGGGAAAAATAACATGACCAAAAGTACCTGCATGAAACAAATGCTTTCTGGAAGAAAATGTGAAAATTAGATATGGAGAATCCTTGGGATAAGTTTTCACAACAATTAAGTGTGAGATGGTAAAGAGGCAGTTTCAGTTCACATTGAACAAAAGTACAAAATTTATCAGAAGAAAAAGAATCACTTCTCTATTAGAAGTATAGTCTGTAGCCACAAAAGAATGGTGGGAGCCCATCCTTCCTTTAGAATGGTCCTAAAGATGTTACATTTTGGCAGAATGCAGAGACCGAAGGCATGCAAGACACACCCCTAACTATTCTTCCTCAACAAATATGGATTGTTCCCTATCAAACTGGCCAAGGGCATCTCTTTTACTTCTTGGGGAATTAAGGAGAATAACAGATAACCCATTGTGTTCACAGCCAGCTAAAGAGAAGGAAGTTCAACAACGTGTGTCTGTGTTGGAATAGAAAATGCTATGGGCTAATGTTAGGACCCACATTTTTCAGCATTTTACTAGCCTTGAAGGAAATGCAGTCATAAAGTTTCAGGGTTTGTGGTGGTGATATAGCGGGTGTGTGCATATGAACACACATACGATGTGTGCATGTACACACACACACACACACACACACAGAAGGATAGTGGCATGTTATTTCACACCAAAAACAAATATGCGTGTTACACTTCTGCTTTTTATAGAATTTGATATTACTATTTTTTAATGAAAAAAGAGAAAAATAGAAAATAGTGGTTTCTATAAAAAAAATAGTGGTTTTTTTCTTCTATACTTGCCCTTAGGAGTGAGAGAATAAATCAAGGTCTCCAAATCCATTCAAGTCCAAACTTCCATTTGTATTCTAGACAATTAATTGAGTTAATGTATCAATCAACTTACCTAATTGAATGTATCCTGTTATACCCTGTTTCAGTGTCACCTGATCACCAGGAATCAGATTCTGTTGTCAAGATTTATAAAACACCTGCAAATTACTCTTCAGTATTCAAAGACAGTATGGCAGAAGTTGATTGGTTAAGACCAAGAAGAAAGAAGTATCCATAAAAATGAGATAGTGATAGTATTTGATGAATAGAATAAATAACAAAAGGAAAAAACCTTCTTCCTCATCTCTCTCCTCTCCTCTGTCCCCCTTCATCTCTCTCAAATCAGAATATGACCTTATACAATCTTTAACTATTGTTTCTCTCATACCTTTTGTCCATGCCTTGGTATAAATTATAAAGACTGAATATTTTCTTTTGGAAATTTAATCTTAATATTTGTTCCATGTTAGGAATAGCCTGAATGGCAAATGATGTTTTCACATATATCCCATAAAATGAAGGAGGCTGAAAGAAAAGTACATTGAGAGAAATACCTTTACCTTTAGTGTCCAACTTGTATGATACATGTTATATGACTATTTTTTGTTTCTAAGCCTCTGGGTTAAAAAAAAAAAGTGTATTAAGTTCTGCTGTAATTGATGTTGGTAGCAACTCCCGAATAAAATGAAGTCAACTTAAAGAAGTAACCAATCTCTAAAAGAGGTTAGCACTATTTCTTCAAAGATATTCCTAAAATTTTGCAAGGCTTAAAATCACATATTGTTCACCAAATTATACATAGATAAGTTGCTGTCATAGAATGAATTATTTATTCAAACACAACAACACGAGATTTAATGAACATCCCACATACAATATTTGGCTGCAAGAAACTCTAAATACGGTATGAAAAAAATTACTCAACTGGGAAAATGGCCTAGGACTGACCACCTGTTTTTGTCATTTTAAATATCCAACACAGCGCTAGCTTATACAGCATAGAGGAGATATTAACTGATAAATGGAGTGTATTTTAAAAGTTCTTTGGAAATTCCAAAGAAAACTGATACCATATTCTAATGTCTCATGTAAAATCTGCACATAAAATTGCTAAAGAATAAAAAGAAATATTTTAGTTCTGCTTTAACAACCACAAAGAAGATCAAACTTTCTATTCAGGAAGAAGAACATGTTCTTATACTCACAGTGTATTGTATCAGAAAAGAGACCTTGCTCTAAGACACAAATCTGAGTCTCAGGGATTATCTTTCCTACCTCTTAATTTTACAGATAGGAAGACTGGGGCCCAGATCATTTAAATGACTTATGGTCATCTTTATGCTTAGCTCTCTAGGTGCTAAGACATACCTTGGACATTCAAATATTCTAATCTGTCTTGTGGATTTGCTTCATTTATGTAAACCATAAAGTGAGAAAGAGTGTGCACTTTTGCGTAGTACGCATAACTGGAAAGCTAACAGTCACAGCCAAGTAGGTTCTAGCTCCTATGATCACATACGACATGGTCTCCATAAGCTTATGTCCACACCATCCCTTCTTTCCTTTTAATCCCAATTTTGAAAGGGAAGTGCAATGTCTTGTCTCTGCTTTTACTTTCTCCACATCATGGGCTGCTTGCTGTTCTCAGCAGAAGCAAGTGAGAAAAGTTTTTTGCTTCTGCTGACAACAGAATTACTTTAGGAATTCTAGTTGTTCAAGTAAAATATTTCTGCCAAAAAAAAAGGCTAACTGGACTCTTATTTGGTATTATATATTAGTTATGCTTAAAGGAAGGTGTAGAGACAGAGAGTTGACCTGAGCATGGGGGCCCACCTATTGGGACACTGAAGTGAAGTTGTCAGATGACAGAGACAGAACCAGGTAAGTATCGTTCTGCTTCCCCCTTCTTTATTAAGAAAATGTGCCTCTAACCTTAAAATGTAGTGAAGCAGAGAGAATCTTAATATATACCTAGAGATACAGAAAGAATCTAGTTGCTCTAAACAGAGCAAATTATACTACTGAATATTGCATCATCTTGTAGGCTTGGTTTGTGACCATCTTTGTGCAATCAGAAAAAATGAAAGAATTTTGAATAAACAGAAGATGGGGAAAACCTTGCCTTGGCCCAAATTTTAAGAACATATATTCTAGAAATTGTATACTTCTCAGCTTGATTCTAACCTCAGATAACAATCTATAACGGATGCATCGACAAGTGGTCTAGAAGAACTGAACAAACAAACTAACCCAGTTCACTAAGAACAATCCTAAAGGAACTTGTTTGTTTGTTTGTTTTTCATTATACATTGGAAAAATACTCCATAGAGTGAACCAAGATTCTGCCAAAACCGAGTTTCTCATGATATCTTTGTGATGACATGAGATGTAGATTGGAAAGTAGTACCATTAGATGGATTGTTTACTAACTGAAGAAAAGCTATTGGCAATCCAGAAAGAAGAAAACAAGAACCTGAACTCTGAACTGTGATCTACAATGCCCTAAGTAATCTGCTCCACCTACTTCTCTCCTGTTTACCAAGCTTCAGTCGAGCTGGAGACTTTCTATTCTTAACCAGACCAAGCTCATTGCTTCCTGCTTGCATTTGCTGTACTCTGCTGTCTGGGATGTGCTTCTCCCAGCTCTTTGAATAGTTGGATCCTTCTCAAAGTGTAGGCATTAGTTTAAATGTCATCTATTTAGACGTTATCTCCAAAGTAGAGAGCTACCTACCCAACCTTGTCATTTTCTTGTCTATCCTTCTGTTTATTTCCTAGTACATTCTGATTATTTTCCATATCTCCCACTAAAATATCAGCATCATGAAGGCTAAGACCTTGTTTGTTTATTCACCAAGGCCTAAAACAATGCCTGGCATGTACTAGGCTTCCACGAATATTTGAATGAATTAGTGAATAAATTAATAAAATGCAACCCTAAGTCTTGACACCATATCTTCTATTTGGCCTTTTGGAATATAATATTCTAAAATATTAAATTTTGGAATATTAAATTTTATTAAATTTAATATTAATTAAATTTATAACATTATAAATGTTTATTAAATTTATAACATTTATAAATTTAAATTTTATAACATTAAATTTTATAAATTAAATTTTTAACATTAAGTTATAATTAAATTTATAATATTATAAATACAAATATTTATCTTCTATTTGGCCTTTTATGTTTTTATCATAGTTATAATATTATAAATATAAATATTTATAATATGGCCTCCATATTTTCATGGAGACATAGAAGAAGATCTATATTTTTGCTTTGTTTTAGTTTTTCTCACTACATTAGACTGCATAAATACACGGCATAATAAAATAAAAATTCAAAAGGGCCTAAAGAGATGAAAAGTAAAACCCTTAAAACAAAATGACATAACACAAGAAGACATGGAATGTTCTCCACTTCAAATCAAAGGGAGCTTTTGTATTATTACAGGATGAGGAGACCTTGTTTGTCATCAAGATTTGTAAAAAATATTTTGGGTTTTAGTTCATTAAATCTGTTGTTAAGTGTAGTGTGATGAAAACACTAAAAATCACTGGAGTTTTTAAATCGAAAGATGGTACCTCCAAACCAAATTCAGATATTTGTTCAATTCTGGAAATTAACATTTAAAAACACTGGAAAACTTAAAAGTCATGAAAGGAAAAGAACAATGATTATGAGAAGCATAGGAAACTACTCTCATAATAAAAAACTTAGAAACTTTTATCAATAACCTCAATAAAAAGGAAAGATTTTTTAACTTTTAGAGTCATCGCAAAACACATTAGGTTATTCCATAGAACACTGAGTTTCTTGTCAGTGTGGACTCCCATTGTGTGGTTAGCAGTTAGGATACAGTGGAGATAATTCTCATAAAATGCAAGTTTGTTTGATTAATGATTTATTATTGATTTATATAATTACAGCTGGGCTTCCATTCTCCTCAATTTCCCTACTGTGAAGTATTTACATTAAATACTTGCATTTTTTTTTCTGTTTTATGATGCACCACATATAGAAAAGTTGGTTGAAAGGTGTCTGTGCTTTGTCAGTCTGCAACTGATAAAAGAATTATGGGCACAGTGGCTCACGCCTATAATCCTAGCACTTTGGGAGGCCAAGGCAAGAGGATCACTTGAGGCCAGGAGTTTGAGAACAGCCTAAGCAACATAGGGAGACTTCGTCTCTACAAAAAATAAACAAATTAACCAGGTGCCATGGTGCACACATGTAGTCCTAGGTACCTGGGAGGCTGAGGCAGCAGGATATCTTAAGCCCAGGAGTTGGATGTTTCAGTGAGCTACATTCACACGACAGCACTCTAGCCTGGGCAACAAAGTAAGACCCTGTCTCCAAAAGAAAAAGTAAAAGAATTATGGTAGTATAAATACTTTATCATATGTTGGTAGCCAACAGAGACTTCAAGAAAAAAATCAGTCACCCATCCAAAAACTGACTAGTAGTCAGCAAACTAGTAAAATACACACAAAATTAATGGGATTCGCCTTTGTAGTAAATCCAGGAGGTTAGCTCCAAATTTGTATCTCACGAAACTAGGAAGATCTGAATAGAGGAAAAGCAGACATGGAAGATGATTATAATTTTGAAAGCAGGAACATAACCCTCCCCAGTTTGTAGAAAAACTGTGTGAACCAAAGAAGGACAGTCAGCCTCAAAAATAGAGCAATAAGACCAGGACCTCGAAGTTGACTTTGTTCACCAAATCCTAGAAAAGACATAGACTGTTTAGTTGATATAGTGATGTAATTGATAAAGATGGATGATTCAACTAGTTCAAAACAGCCTTGGTGAGATATTTCTCAAGGCTGTCTTCTTCACTGCACTCACTGAGCAACTCTGGTTAAGTCCATTTCTCAGGGATTGTGATGCATTACACTCATCTTCTTCACGAGAAAAATATATCCCCAGTCTAAATGCTCATTATGGTTGATATGCTTTAACATCACTTTTGGTTAGCATCAGTCAGCCTTTCGAAGTCTATACAACTCCATGTAACAAAGTAGGACGGCTGACCATGGGCTACAACAATATCACAACATAATGGCACCTTGGGGAGCTTGTAGGTAGAGAGCCACATGGCCTTCATCTGACCACACTGTTGCTCACTTTTAAATCTACATCATTCTTTATTGACTAAATGCCTAAGCATGAGCTATGTAGCAGTGGCAGAATTAACAATTAAGAGGTGTTTGATTCTGGGGCATGAATAATAACCATGGAACAAAAGGATCATTAAAGAAACCTAAAGGGTAGAAAGTATTAATAATTCAGAGTATTATAGAGCACATAAGATGATCTGGAAAAGAAATGTTCAAAGGCCTATTTTTTTTAACAATTAACTATTTTGAACCTTAGAAGTAAGTAAATAAGCATGACGTGCACAGGGATATAACTGAGAATGGGCAAGAAGATTAGTGCAAACTTTGGCATTTGGAGGAGGCTTATGCAATGATCTGTAGATCTGAAATGGGTCTATCCTTGCTGACGACTCAGTGGAAAGGCCTTCAGCTGAAGGCTCCCAAATGACACGGAGACATTTGACTCGGGTTCACACATTTAACCAGAAAGATACATTTAACCAGAAAGATGACAAGGAAGCAGTCTTTACCCATCTACATTTTTGGAAATACAAAAGCTCCTGCTTGCCTTTCACTGCCAAAAGAGGAGGAGAAACTACTCCGAGTGTCTTGGGTTAGGGCTGTGAAACAAATCAACTGCACAATGGAACATTCAGAAACCAACTGCTGAGTCACTCTCCCCACTGCTGTGATTGGGGGCCCTTTCCTCCCCCACCCCACCCCCCATTCAGATACTACGTGACCCAGAATATCAGTAGTCCATAGGAAAAGAAAGTGAACTCTTCCCCTTGCATTTCTTTATGCTTCATTTGTGTTTGGGAGGAACTCTCTGACATCATAGAGGAGAGTTTATGTGAAAAGAAATGCCTTTGCCCAGTGCACAAAGAGAACATCATCATGGACTGCTACGTGATCCTTGTCACTGTCCTCACACAGAGCTATGAAAAACCCACACTCAGAGCCCCCAACCCACTATTGCTCTCCACCCCCCAAATCATTTGCTCCTAGTCTAAATGAACACATTACCTGTATCGGTGCCCCTCATTCCTTAGACATTCCCTCCAAAATGTTAGACCACGGCCTATGGGAGGAAATCATATACACAGGTATCAGTCTTGCACATTTCGTAAAGAAAAAAGCAATTTTCTTTTTTCTTTTTTTTTCCAAATAAAAGTTTTTAAAAGTTAGATGAAAAAAGATGAGGCAAAGGGGAGAGAGCAAAGTAATGCCACTTGGCATTTGGTGTTTGGTGCGTAAATTGAAGTTCTTACTTGCCTAGTGACCAAGCATCCAGCTGCCTCCCAGGCTTAATTAAACCTGCAGCTAACCTGCAAGAAAAGGGATATGTGCTTGCCATTCAGAGACAGAAAAAGGAGGCAGAGAAGATTTGTGATCAGTATCAGATACTGGAGCAAGTCAGTGCTAGAGGTAGAAATTAAAACTTTTATACCCAGTTCCTTCTCCCAGACACTTAGATTTAATTTCAGCCTTTAGATGATACAGTAGCTGACCAATAAGGGTCAATGATACTTTTCCTGCATGTGTGTATATGTTCCAGGTGACAACAAATATGCAGGCTTTTTTTTTAAATTTTAGGCAAATAAGCACATTTTTATTTTACATGTTACAAAACATTTAAGCATCCGGAACTATCTAGAAGCATGATTTTGTATCATGAATAAAAAGTATAAACTTTTACTATAAGGCAGGAGCTGTCTGTAAGCAGTGCTATAAAACCAGAAAAAGAATCAAGAATGGCCTCAATACCTATTCAAATCAAATGGGATATATGAGGCTCTTTTTTTTTTTTTTTTTACTATTAACTTATTTTGAAGATAGCCATTTATAAAACATCTGGAACCTAATTGTTTGTGTGACAAAGATGGCTATTAGCTTCAGAAGAAAATAAACCACCCATTTACTCAGTGGCTACTCTACTTCATCAATGGCTAACATCTCAGTTCTATTAATAACAAGTTTGAATATTTCCTGGCTATCCCAAACTGTTGAAGGTGACATTCAATGGATTGGTGAGAATCTGTTTTCATTACCCCAAAGGAACCACTGCAGACATCAAAGTGTGCCAGTAATGCAACCTACTGTGTGAAAAAGACTAATTCCCAGATAGAAGTAATGAGGAAGCTAAGCTAGGAAACCAATTTACAGAAACCGTATTCACCTGTTCCTGAAAAGGAACCCGCTGAGAAGTCATCACAATAGCTCACCAGCCTGCCAAAGAAATTGGGCAACCTTCCTACATCTGCGAAGGATGCTAACAGCAGCAGCACTGCCTGGTAATTGTTTCAAAGACAATGAGCAGCAGTCACTTCGCTCCAGCTCTCCCTGTTAGCTGCTTATCTCAAGATTCATGGACTCCATGAATTCTGTTTGGTGACTCTGAGTGCCACAGCTTGATATGGCTCTGGATTGTCATCAACCCACAGAAATAACCAGACTCATGTGTTGGATTCTGCCACCCACATTTAAGGGGATCATCTAGCATGTGACAAATGTTTAGAGTCTGAAAATTATGGATGGATTGAAGAAAATCAAGCTTTGATGATTAAAAAATTGGGGGCAAACTCAGGAACATCTGAGGAAATGTGTGGGTTTTTTCTCTTTCTGAAATGAATTATTTTGACAAATAGAGGTTTATGGCAGTTTTGTAAACCTAACACAACATGATTGGAGTTAAAGTACATCTCTCCCTATTTCAGTTCAACTCATAGTAGGTTAAGAAGCCTAAAATTCTTTTTAGGCATAGGGTGATGTTTTTCATGTGGTATGGAAACTGAGGAGATCAAGAATTCTTCCTTAGCATACGGACCCATTTTGCTCTGAATACAAAAATCCTTTCTGACTCATTTTCCTTAGGTAAATTTGCAATGGTGTTTTAACATCTGAAACAGCCATCCATGAATTTAAATTTCTGCATCATTAAATGGGCAACAAGCCAGGGCTGGTTGATGAAAATATGAGCTGGAAGATAACAGCACCATATGGAATGATGATCACATAATGAACCAGGAAACCAAAAACTGAATGAGCCAGCCTGCTTAGAAACACAGAACAAGGTTATAGCACTCTTTTGAAATGACTACACTCACAAATGGTAAAGAATATTATCTTCTAAATTTGGTATTATCACTTCAAGTCAGTAAGTCTTATAATGTCCCTAAATTAGCCTTAAGGATGTAGGTAGTTCTCATGAACTTCAAAGAAAACTGCAAAAAAAATAGTTTAACATTTTCCTTTTAACAAAACTTTAGGCTATAATTTTGACTTCTTTGATTAGTTTGCCACCCATAGTAAAAATAGGACGACATGCAATGTTATTTTTAAGTTGACATATCTTTATAAATTTATTTATTTATAAATATAATTTTTAATAATTATTTATAAATATATTTATTTATAAATATCTATAATTCTATAAATTATAGAACCCAATTGTTATTTTACTAATAGCAACTGGTCTCCTGTGCCATGAGTTTTGGGATGATGACATAATAATAGAAGGCAATGCATAACATTTTCTCCTACTTAGTTTATTTGTCCTCAAGATAATTTCATACTTTATGGTTTCAATTCAATGATAACAGTTTGAATTACAGCAACAAAAAGTGGTTGGATATACCTCAATATTACATATATTGCAATATTACATATGCAATAATATCAAGCAACATGTCAAACAAGTTGTAATTCAGGGGTCCTCAAACTACGGCCTGAGGGCCACATGCGGCCCGCTGAGGATATTTATTGGCCCGCCAGGTGTTTTTGCCGCACTGCTTGTCCTGCTTAGCAGCCGACTTGTCCCTGGCCCACAGTGCGCATGTGTGGAATGTGTGCTGCACTCTCCAGCGGCCCTCCAACGGTCTGAAGGACAGTTAACTGGCCCCTGTTTAAAAAGTTTGAGGACTCCTGAATACTCCCAACGTCTAAATGACTTCCAGGGAATGGTGGTTTTTAAGAGACTTTGAAGACATTAATCATTTTGGTCACTAGAATGCCTTAAATAATACATTCATAGAGCATACAAGTGTCCTGGTGTGGTTAATAGCATTAAGCTACATGTGCACCTGATTTCTATATAAAATGCTATATTTAGTTTTATCATCATGAAAAGCTTGTAAGTTGTATTATTCACATTTCATATAAGAAAGTTTAATGTATTTTCCCTAAATCACACAGCAAATATAGACTAAACTAAGCCTGGGAGAACAACAATAACATTTGTATAGGAATTATACAAGTTTACAGACCCACTGCTCTGAGAACTTCACAAACTCAATTTAATTCTCAGGCCGGAAAACAGAGGCCCAAAGTCACATGACTAGTGGTGGGCAAGATGGCTCCAGAGACTGCACTCTTGGTAACTACCTCAGGCTTCCTCAACTTTCTCTAGGAGCTTCTGAATGAATAAAAAAAATGCTGAGGCCTAATGTTTTAGGGTTGTGGTGCTCACTGCTGCATAGAACAAAAAGCTATAGAAGGACAATAGTCAAAAAAGAAAAGATTGAATTCTCAAATGTTCTGCAAGTAAAAAATAAATAAAATCTTAAGATGCTAAAATTCTTATTTCTATGTAATTTTCTTGATTTCATCTTCATAAGATAGTCGTCTTGCTTCAAACTATCTAAAATATCTCAGAAAGGGAAATATTTTCATCCCCAGTGTCCCTAGGGGGAATACTTAATGCGCTGTGATATTCCATTACCACATTAGGAGAAGGTTTGGTTGAAAACAAAGTGAGAGAAGAGAATGGTCATAAAATTGGTAGGAAATAAAATATCTTACATTTGCTTCCAATGATTCTGATGCTATAGGAATGAGAAAAAGGAGGACAAGCAGTCCACATGTAAGAATAGAAAACACTAGATAATTATTTTAAAGTTGGTCTATCAACTTAAAAAACAATTAAAGATTTCATGCACCACTTTGAGTCATAAGTCATATTCACATCTTGGATTTTCTGTTAAACATAGCAGATGTGTTCTTAATGAACCTGAGCATATTCTTTAGCGATATCTTTAGAAATGATGTTGGTTTCAGCTGATTCTATACAGAAATGGGGATAGTACTTAGGCACGGGAGGTATAAAATGTATAGTTGTGTGTGATTATCAAATATTTATTGAGAGTGACAAGTGAACCAAGTGTATTAGACATGATCGTTGTCTAGCAAGGTGGAATTTCAAATTCAACATGGCAATAAGTCACATGGGACAGTTTACAAAATGTGTTTGGAGGAAGGCAGAATTTTAAAAAGCAATAGCCAATGAGCTTCCTATTACTTTCTATTTCTATGAAAATGCCCATAACATGACTTTTTAAATGTTTTTTAAAATGGCATGTGTCATAGAAAATAGATTTAAATAAAATCTCAATGAAAAATCATGAAGAGATGTGACAGGAAAGCTTTGTGAGAGTCTTCTCTTTGCAATCTCATTTACAGAACATTTAGAAAATGCTACATTGAGTCAATGTGATTGTTGTAGAAAAATAAGTAAAAGAATAGCCAATACAATTTGCTAATTGCCATTTTGAGTCTTGTTCAAGAATGACAAAGTGTCGTGTGCTCTAAAAAAGATGAACCTCAAAAAAAAACAAAAACCGGAAAAGAACAGAAAAAAATTAGACAAAGCAGCAAAGATGTCTAAACAACAAAATCTAAAACCTACAAAATTTATTCCTGAGTTTACTCTGCCATGTATGTGATTGTTCACAAGGAAAATGGACTTGTCAATTTAACCATTTTCTCAATCATGAAGTTTGTACTAGAATATGACCATTATAATTCCTTATAGAACTCCTGTGGTAAAGCATTTTCATACATTAAAATAAGTTATTATTACTTTAAAATGAAGTACTCAAGAGAAAATGAGCCAAATTTAAGAGAGTAAAAGATTCTGTTGGATAGGAATAGCTATTAATACTTCCATTAAATTATTGTCCTTGTGCCCAGTACAGCTCTGATACACAATAGTGACTGTTATGTGTTGAATTGTGTTCTCCCCCCCAAAAAAATATGTTAAAGTTCTAATCCCCAATATCTCAGAATGTGACTGTGTTTGGAAAT